TTCCTGTAAAGCAAAAAGTTTCTTTTCTCAAAACGTTTTTTTAAAAATTTCCAATGGTGAGCACTAGCCATTACAGGCATTGGCCACTACTAAGGCCAGAAGTGGTGGTCACTTTAGTATGGAAGTACCTAACAGGTGGGCCACTGTAGTCTCATATGTACGGACAGACAATTTACATCTATGTATTTTCTGGAATTCAAACCTGGGCTCTTCAGTACAGCAATCAGAGTCACTAATTTCTTTCCATTCAGGGTGGCAAATGCTTTAGAACTGCGGATTACAAAAAAAAAGGCAACGTCTAATACAAACTTTAATATGTGTTCTCAAATATACTGTTCATTCAAGTGTACATTATTGAAAGTGGTTTGTCAAATGAATAAGTATTTGACAAATCATTTATGTTCAGTTATATGTAATTAGATTCAATTCTGTAAAAATTAAGATATTGCATTTAATGGTTTTTGCCTGACAGCTACAAGCTCTCGCAAGGGGTAAACTCAGCAAATTATTATGATACAGAAATTCTTACCTCATTTTAAAGCTGCATCTTATTTTAAATCACTAAGATTCTCAAGAACACCAGAAGATTTAGCAAATACTCATGAGCGAAACAGAAGGTATGAAATAAAAACAGAATTTAATCAAATATGACTAATGAAATTTCACATCTCCAAATCATATATTTTTACTATAAATCAGTATATAAAAATATTTAAAAATTTATATAAGTCAATAGTTCTCAAAATGATGCAATTTTTGGCACCTTGAGAAAAGCTCTTTTTAGTCACACACAGTAAAATTTTCTTAAATTATACCTAAAATGTCATGGTTTTACAAGTTTCTAAATTCTGAAGCAGCTACAAAGTTATGGCCTCTAAAATGAGACAAACAAGGAAATATGATAATAACTAGAGAGGTACTCGAGCATATATTTGTAGATTATTTACAATGCAGTTGAAACCATTATGGCAATAAATATACAGTTGATTAATTTGGAACATTATTGATATTGATAGGAATATCTGTTACAGCAATCCTTACAGATACATGTAACTGCATTCAAACATTCATGGTTTTTCAAAGAATACAAGTGATTACACAACAAGCAAATTCTGTATAAGATGACTTCCTTTTTCTTCATTTCCAGATAGTTTAGTCTTCTGTGGAGATGTCATCTTGGAGAAGCAATATTCTTTTGATGCCTATTTATGGTCTCAGAAATTTAAATATTGATCATTTTCAAAAGTGATCATAATGAGTCAGTTCAATGAGTTTATTAAATCAGTAGTTGTTAAAATGTGTGTTTCAAGATAATTTTTAGCAACTCATGAAAAGTTTCGAAACATTGTTTTTTGGTACAAGTATTAACACAACCATCTTGTTGCAATTTCATGATTTTTTACAGATGAAAAATATAATTGCAAAAATGTATTTATTGTATACATAAATATTACATATATATTACATTTGTTCCTTTAGTGATTGCAGAAATTTTATTGCAGCTTTTTTCATCACTGTGAAATTCCAAAAATCCATATTTTAAAATTGAGCTTAAGGCAAAAAAATGCTATGATTAGTCTATAAAAACCGATGGAATACAACAAAAAGAATGCACACAAAAATGGCGACGCTGCTTGCTAAAAATTATTGTGAGTATGGTTACTTAAAGTTATACCTGGTTGTTAGAGTTTGGTACATTCTGAAAATTTAGTAACTTCTACTATGGTGTGTGCACTAATATTTAAATACCCTTCTTTTTTTTTAACTACGGCCCTGTGGCAGCGCCGTAATTAGCACGTTGTGCAGCAGCAACACAGGTTCGGAGTTCAATTCCTGGGCTGGGTGAGGTTCACTCACCCTTTCTTCTCTTGAGTGGGTGGATAAAATGTGTACAAAGTTTGCTTGGGGACTAAACACCAGGGGTTCCTGGGACAACCTGACCACTTGTCCATGGCATATGCTCACGCAGACCAGGGCCCACAGTCAGGAAACCTGATATTGGGGCACTGCAGGCCATGGCCTGCTAGGGCTGTTGTGCTACTGAGTTTAGTTTTTTTTTTTTTTTTTTTTTTTTTTTAAATTTTTTTATTAAGTAATTGCTAACAGTTAAATATTTTTATTATTATTACATTATTTTCTTTTAGGAAGCACTTTTGCCAAAGCAACTAATATACATGTTGGTTATGATACTTAGATCTGGGAAACAGTATAAATAACACAAACACATAAATCAACAATTTTAAAAACTAACAGAAGAACACTGACTGATTTAATAATCCACATGAATTACATAATGAACAAAATCTAAATTAAAGTACACAAAAAGTAATAAATTGTGCTATAAAATATGTTTGATAACAGATAAAATTACAAAAGAATTTTATTAAAAAAATAATATAACCCAAAAAATAAATAAAATTATTTCAAACTGTGTGAGTCATTCTTCCTAAGAAGTTCCTAACACAGAGTTCCAAGTAATTTTATTCTTCTACATAGGCAATCATCTTAGAAAGGCCGAGTCAGATATTTAACCCTTCGAGGGGCGGTATATAAAATAATTTAAATTGTAGTAAAATTTTGCATGAACTATAACTTATAGACCCTAAGGACACAAAATTGACACTTAAAAAAAATCTAGAGCGAAATCCTGAATTTTAAGAGCTGGTATATATTTTATACCTGCGCCCCTCTAAGACATTTTTTTCCAGGTAGCTGCCAACTGCTAATTTTTGTTTTTTAAATTAATTTTGCGTACTTTTGATGTGCTTCTGTAGTGAGTGCTTGAATATAGATATGTAAGTCTGAAGACACAAAATTTTAAAATTTTGGTAGAAATTTAAAATTTTAAAAATAAAATTTATGTTTTTATGCACTTTGAGGATATAACCCAGCTGAGCATACTTATGTAAAATATGGGTAAAAAGCTTTTCAACTTGATTTAAATTCAATATTATTATTTTATAAAAAAATTTAGCAAATATAAAACTGCATGCGTAAATCGTATCATGCAGTAACTGAACTAGTATAATATTACAAGCAGATGTAACTCAGCCGAAAATTTAAAAAATTGAAAAATGAAACAGTACAACTCAGCTGAGAAAGTATGTTGCATTTTTGAAGTTGTATTTTATGCTTTAGATCATATGTGAAAACACCATGCTTCATACTATGATACAATGAATCTCCCCTCCCCATCCACACACACACACTTTAGGTGACCGAGGACCATAAGGGTCCCTTTTTTATTTTTTTGTAACTATAGGTTGTAGTATATCTTTTTGTTCAGGAAGAAACGTCGTTAGACAATTTTATTATTTGATACACCTCAAAGCTCTTATTCGGATTTTCAACCCCTTTGGCTTTCTAGTGGCTCCTTTTCAACTTTTGGATAAACATGGCATCTAAGCATTTTGGCATCTAAAACCGGCCTTAGGCTGCTATCACATGTCGTTTTGTTTCGGAAGAACAACTGTTTGGAACAATTTTTCTGCTTTGTCACAAGGGCCAATAACCATAGATCGCTTTGAGGTTAACTCAAGGGGAAACTGGTTCCTCATTACAAACAAGCTGATAGTGTTGGAAGCTGATAACTGATTGGTTGAAAACAAACAACTTGCAATTTTTTTGGAAAGGCAGGGAAAAGTCCCAGGTCTTTCTTTCAATAGTAAACCAGGCAGAAAAATTGTGGGAAACATTTGTTGGTGTGAAACAAAGGCTGTGTGATATGGGCCTTAGAAATATTTTCCCTCCTTTCACCAACTGTGAAAATTTATTTAGGAAACAACCTATTTGTATCAACCAGAGGGCAAATTTCTCTTGTGTTCTCTAGCCTTTCATCTGAAATTAACAAAGAATTAAAAAGAATTTCCCTAAAGAATAAAAGGATGCTTTCAAACCAGCAGTTTTTGTGATTACACTATAAGATGGAACTTAAGTACATTTCCATTTTAAGCCAGGTTTCCCATTGTATGATCTTATCAGACCTCACAAAGGGAAGAAGGCCTGACAATGACAAATTGGTTGTCAATCACCTCTTTTCATTTTCCTGGCATTCTAGGATTTTGGAAAACAGGAGGGTTGTCTTTTGGGGGCTAGCATGCCACATTTAACCCCCACAATTGTGTAAAGTTTTGACCACAGATGGCAATTTTGAAATCCATGAGTCTTTCTCTTGGGAAAGGGAACTCTTTTCTCTTGGAAAGTGTTGAAATAAAAATTTTAGCTAAACACAGAGGAATGAAACTTGAGCTGAGTACACAAAGAATAAATGAAACTAATATACTTGTATTCAGTCCTAGTGCAGGGTCAGTGTAAACTCCCCATGAACATAATATTTAATCCTAAACGACTTATAAATTAATCATGAAAAATTATTATATCATAAACTGTTATAATAATAAAGAAATTCTGTCATGTCACAGAGTAGAAAAGGAGAAGAGTGGTGCTGCCATCTATTGGCGTGATACCCTCAGTGTGGGCGCCGGTATATATTATATACCGGTTTTAAAATCGTATAATCTTCTGTTAATTATCACTTCTGACTGAAATGAAGTAAATATATAAGATTCAGCATGTGTACGTCATATATTTGCAGATTTTGAATTTTTTCTTTCCAATAGAATTTATCAATCTTCCAACATGAGACCTTGTATTAATTAGGTTATTAATATATTAATTTTATAACTGTAAAATATTGAGCATTCATAGGGTGATGCTGCCATTTAGAATCGAAAGAAAACACTAGACACTTACGATTATAGCTTTTGGTGTAGAAAAATTAGCATTTTTTCGGAGGTTAAAAAATTGACAAACAACCGGTGCTCTTCAAAGGGTTAATTTCATTTTCGAAAAAACTAATTACTTTCAAAGGTAATTATGATAAACAAGTGATCTCACAAGAAGGTTCACTGTATTTAAAATGTTAACAGACCAATTTAAGGTCATAAAATACTACTCTGACAAAGAGTATTTTAAACAGAAAATTATAAACTTAAAACTAGTTTAAGAATACATTTTGTTTAATCAGATTTTATAGCATATGCATTCTAGTATGTATGTACATGATACTGAATTTCAGAACACTTTGTTAAATTATGTACAGATGTAAAGTAACAATAATCACACATCTATGGATGATTCAATCCATCGTTTAAGTGAAACAGGTAGGTTTTGATATTTTTCAACAGTTTCTTTAACCTGATCTACATCCACTAGCAACCTAACTGGCATAAATCGCTTCAGAACATCAGAAGATGAATCATGACAAGGCTTTACAAGCTCTAACTCCAAAAGATGCTCAAATGCCTTCATCGCAACAGGTTTCTCACTATTCCAACTTGTTTTGCTCAAATATTTGTTTACTTCATTATACACAATTTCAAAATTAAAAGGCTCGCCATCATAAATGTTTGTTAAATGCATCATTGCTGTTATCAGAGTTATTTCAAGAACAGATAATCCAAGCAATAGATCTGATTTACTATCAACACAGCACTGATCATATGCTCTTTCAAAGTCTTCTGTGGTGAGTTTTGGATGAGAACATTTCAGGTTTTGCACAACCAAGGACAGAAGTTCTTTAAGGTCTCTCATGGTATTGCTACAATTAAAGCGCCTTTCTAAAATGTTTTTCACAGATGGAATTTTCAAAAGATTATCCACTTCAGCATTCCATTTATTTAGAAATTTCTTATCACTGAATTTTTTAAGACACAAGAAAGTCTTAGCAGCTTTAAAGTACTCTTCAAATGTTATTTCTTGAAATAAAAGTATTTTTTGGTGTGAAAATCTAGAATTAACTCTATTCTCGAGGATCTGAAGCACATCTGGACGACTGCACATACCTACAACACATATAGGTGTCTGCTGAGATTGTGCAACATCAAAAAGGTTGTACAAAAGGGTCTGATTTTTGTGAGTACAGAATAAATCAAAATTATCTAATACAAATAGGACTGATTTTGTAGCTTGAGTACCACTTTTTAAAGCAGATAACAGTATTCTCAGTTTCTCAGAAAAACTTCCAGAAGGTCGATCCTCAATTTCATTCAATTTTAATTGTCTCGCTATATCTGTGAGTGCTAAGTTATCATTTGTGTGAATTAAACCATTAAGGCTAACATACAACATATTACCTTTAACCAATTTGCTTTCAAAACTTTTACTGATCACATGTTCCAGTAAAGCTGATTTACCACTTCCTCTTGGTCCAATTATGAGAACAGAATTGCTTTCACTCATCAAAGCAGTGCGCTTGATCATATCCTCCAAATGGTGAACCTTTGATTCAAACAACTGCAATAAATGACCACAGTAGCCATAAGGCTTCAACTGATATCGAAGTTTCAGGCAAAGTTCTTCCAAGGTATCAGAAAGCATGATGAACAGTAAAAAAAAAAGATGCACAAAATGGCAGAGATTAATCTTCAGCTGTAAAAGAAATAAATTAATTAAAATAAATAAATAAAAAAAGAGGACAAATTTAATATTCCAATCATTAAAACCTCATTAATATTTAAAATGCATATCGAAATTATAAAACTCAAATCTATTTTTTCAGTCCAAATTATCAAATAAAATTTTAATTTCTTTGAACTCTCCTTTGGCAACTACCCATCTAAGATAACCCTTTTTACTTGAAACAATTATGGTCAGCTAGGGGATGGTTTAATGTATTTTCACCAGCAGAATGGTACGTAAGGCACATACTAAAAAGGCAACTATTTAAGGCCTCTTGAAATAAGAAGTTTTAATCTAGGATAAGGGGAAAAAAATTCTAGAAATGCATACAGAAGCAGATTAGAGTTGTACAGATGTAGAATAGAGATATACTGAATATAGATATAGAGAAGATGATACTTTTTCTCAATACTTGTGACTTTAATAGCAGCAGCTACTAGGCCAAACGCTGCTTTATTATAAAGAAACACTTTTACAGCTTATGTTTGAATACCTGAGTCTATTCAACCCAACAAATGTTCTTGCTGATTAGTAAGGTTTGATTTCTTAAAACTGGAAGTGTAAATGTCTCATTAAACTCAATAAACCAGGAAGAATAAAAACAAAAATTAAGAAATAAATAAAATATTTTATTAAATACAGTACAAAGTCTAATCTGTACGTCCATAATCTGGAATGATCTATAATCCAGATCTCAAAGCTACAAATTTTCTGCGCATGTGCATAATATGTTTACGCATGCACGTTTAATGTATAACGGACGGTATAAGCTAGGCTTAAATTATCTATTTCAGTTAATGTTGCAGATTGCGTTGTTGATTAATCTTCTAATTGGATCTGGCTTATTATTTTTTGCAGACTGATAGAGCAATTTTATAAAAAGTAAGCTTGAACTTTCGATTATGTCAAAAAGAGTTTCCGATTTTGGAGCAGCCAAAGGATCTACAAAGCGAAAGCACGTTTCAATGTCCATCAAACAAAAAGTGGAATTGCTGCAAAAAATGGATAAAAGCATGAAGAAAGTGACAGAGAGGTTAGTGAAAATGAAAAATTTCGATTGACAAGTTAGTCGGTATTCTCGGCACAGCAATTACAGGACTTGAACAGCGGAACTTTGTAACTGAACACGAAATTATGTCTGTTTATAGAATTAAAGAGAAAGTATTAGCACATAAAATGAAGCAACTTAACCTTTTGAAGACGGGATGGCCATTATAGTGGCCATAGAGTCCTCTCTTTGAAAAGACAGGGTTGTCCACTTTAGTGGCCATGTCTTTTTCCCCCATTTTCCAGGCTTAAAAGTGGGGTAAAATGTCAAATTTGACGTCCCTAGTGTTTTAACCACTTATCTTTTTGTTGCAAATAGGAGGTGATTTCTTAAAGGGGGAAAGCACTCGGTTCAAGATTCCCCGTCCTTTGGTAGCTTTTACTGCTACCAAAGGCCCGGCCTCAAAAGGTTAAACAACTTACATTGAAAGAAATGTTTAATAAAGTAAACAAATAAATATTAAGCTTTTTTTTTTTTTTTTTGTAAATTTTAATACCCTTTAGATCATAATTGCTCTTTATTTCATAAATTACAGTTTCATATTTTTAATTTTATAATTTCTGCATGCCACCTTACCAGATATAAATTGATGATCTGTAATCTCAAAAAACCCCTAATCCGGAATTGCTGAAGTCCCGACGAATCCAGATTAAAGACTTTGTACTGTAATAAGTTGTTAAAATGAAATATAATAAATACAGATAAATAAAAATTATGGTCATTTGTAGAAGTGATCAGTCTTACTATGTTCAAAGAAATATTAGAATTAGATGTGATTTAAGGTTCTTTACACTGGTAAACTGAGTTTAGTAAATGATAAACAGGTAATTAATAATAAAAGGACTATTATTAGATAAAAGAAAGGTAAATATTTTTAACAGTATGTAGTCAAATAAAATTGCTTTTTTTAATTTTGACTTCTAAGCTATTGTAAGCCTTTCAGCATCGGAAAATTTCACCATGGGCTCCCTTGCATGTGCATTCCTATCGTAGAAGTTGTAGCCGGAAACGAAAGGGTAAATTATTGACCAAACGCAACAAATTTCACCTCATTTGCATGCAGTAGCTCCGCAGCTACAGAGAAGATTGCCATTTTGTTTATTTAACTGCAAAAGTGAAGCATGTTACCTCCCCCTCCCAACCCTTAAAAGTTTATTACCATAGCATAATGAAAATTTGATTTAAGTCTGGTTAATTATTTATTTCTGAGCTTCTCTGAATTTCCATACAACAGTTTTAAACTTGTAATAGTTAATTGTTCTAAAAACATTTCAATAATGGTGGAAAAGAAACACAATGTGTGATATAATATCTTAATTCAAAAACCATTTAGCCTTTAATCTTTCTTTGAGAAAAAAGAAATAACTGAATACCACACATCTTGCCCTTCTTTAACCACTTTACATTGGATTAAAAGTAACAAAAATTTGTAAGAAATTTTCTAGCTGCTCAGTACAAGGTAACCAGCTGGTTGCTAAAGAAAGGTGGTTCTACTGACCTTGTCTGCTATTTGATGTTGACAAAACAAGTGCATGGACTAAGGATAGATTTTGTAATTTGAGTGCACTATCAATATCCATCTCATGATACGAAAAATCTCTTTGTCATATCAGAGCAAGTTTACAACTTTCCACATTTAGGTAATCAAGAATAGATCTACAATAAATCAACGGAGTACCTATAAAGCTTCATAACGAGGTTGCAATAAAAAACAATTTTAAATGATTGATAGATTGCATAGAGATATTTTGATAAACAAGTAAAAATTTCTAAACACAAATGATAAATTTTGTGATACATTTTCATTTAAAACCAAAAATTAAAACAAAAAATTATTACAAGAAACAATGTCTAATAAAACATTTCAATAACAATTCGTAGTGTCCGAATTATTACACCTCACTGATTAATAATTTTAGAACAAATTATTTTATTACAAGGAATATTATTTTAATGCTTCTTTTTTACAACAAACAAGGCTTAAAATCGAAAAAGATTTATGTGTTAGAAAAAATGAAGTCTATACTTCAATACTTAGTAAAATATAAATTTCAAAAATGCGAGTGTCTGAAAGCAAATATGAGCCACTGTATTGCACTATTAACAACTGATTTATTGTCTACTACAGGGGTTCTCAACCAGGGGGAAATTCTCCCGACGAGTTTTGTAGTTTCAGGGAGAATGCGGTCAGCCTTTTAGCTGCCTGTTAAGGAATTAGTTTAAATTTATATGTTACCAGAAAACTATGAAACTCTGGCATTCTATAGAATGCCTAGGCATTACATATAATGCCGGGCGATTTTAGGCAAAGTATAAAATATGAGAATTATTACATACTTTCCCTAGGCATTATATATAATACCTAGCCATTCTATAAAATGACGAATGCTCTTTAGGCAAAGAATAAAAAAAGGTTATGATAAGACTATTATTTGGAAGACTCATTCCTCAAAAAACAAAATGTTATTTTGAAAAACTAATAAAAGAGTGCCCTTAAAAAACTGTTATTTGAAATATGTAAAACAAACAGTGAGATGATCTTGATACAACTTTAAAAATTTTAATTTTCTGTCTAGCCAAGACTAGGAATCAGTAAGATCTACCTGACAAAGGAAATTAAATTCAGGAACAATCATAAGTTTCACAACAATCCCTTTGTTAATACCTTTTTGGTTTTTCTGGCAGGGCTCACAAAGGTTGTTGTACAGTTCAATATCATTATGTGTAACGTTTTTGTATTTGGTTGAAAGTTCTTTCAGCATTCTGTCACGTCGTCTATGTCCAGTACTCAAATAAGTTTTCATGAAGGGCGGGAAATAACTTGGAGTCCATGACATAATACTGACACTTTCTTTAACAGGATAAACAAATGAATTTTGTTCTCCACAAACATCACATCCTAGCAATTCGGCAGCCAGTAGTCCCGTGGTTCCTTAGTAGTCATTTTGGTCTTTATACATCACTTATTAAGTTCTGGTAAGTAATTTGGTTCTTCGAAACAAATCGGAAATTTATTTAACACTTTGCCAGTTTGTCATAGAATGCCTAGGAAATGTGCGAAATATGAATCGTTTCATACATTGCGGGCTAGTTTTAGGCATTTTTAGGCATTATATACAATGCCTAGACTTTCCATAGAATGCCAGTTTTTAAACTTTGCCAGTAACATATATAAAAAAAAACTACTTTGATTAAAATTTTGGCATTTATTAACATTTTCTATATTTTTTCTAGTTTAATTTATAAAATGAGCTAAAAAATCATTTAATTTAAATTAATGTATATGTATTTTTGGAATTTTGGAAAAGAGGGGAGGATGATTGTCTAGCAATGATGAGCGAAATAAAGATTGAGAAACACCGGCCTATTACTTTTATGAAACATATATAAAAGTCTCCAAAATTAAACGCCACATAAAAAAGGTTTACAGGTGTTGGAATCACTTTATTTTGTTGTCTTCATGAAAAGCATTAGATTATTCTGTGCAGTCTTACTTTTTGAGACTACAGTAGTAAAATTCAAATTAATTTAATTATTATTTTTAGAGTTATTTCCTTTCATTTATTATTATTTTAGAGTTATTTTCAAATTAATTTTGATTAATTATAATACCTTGAAATTCTTAAATATAAAGCTCGATTCTTCTTCCGAAAGGAAAAACGCATATATTATAATCTTACCTTCTAGTAGATGAAAGGAAAACATGATATGACGACATATAACAAGGTACTTTCATACTATAGTTAAAAGTTAAGTTAAATAATTTGCACGAGATGTGTATAAGTTGTAAATACATACTGCAAAATAAAATCGAAGTTTATATATAAATTCATAAATTGAGAGTGCGTTATCATACGCTAATATAAACAAAATAAAAACGGGAGATGAGAGCAAAACAAATTATGACATCGATTACATATAGACATGTTCTGAAAATTCTTATTTCTAAGCTTCATATTAATATACAACAGTACAAAAATGAAAAAATTAACAATCATAAACAAGTCAGCAACAATTGAATTACAACATTCTTACTATCAATCAAAACGAAAAAAAAAAAAAAAAAGGTATTTATAAATGTACAACTAATAGATCAGAAATACACTTTGTTGAAAGCGTAAAATCTTAATTCGGCTAGTTTAAATAAAAACATTTACCTAAAATTAATGCATTTCTCGTACACTTTACAGCCTTCTTAGTTCACAAACTCCCATTCATACATACGTGCTAAAAGGCGGGAGATTTCAGGTCTGATAGAGGTTACTGTAAATTACACTTGCCGTTATTGGATTGCCAGAAGAATTCCTCATCGCTAAAGTGGCTATATTTTAGTTACTGGGAGTCACCCTTTTAAATTGCTTCGGAGAAGAAAAATTCTTTATTCTATTTCTTCAGAAAACAGTTTCAGTCTTCTGTACTGCATGGAAGTTTACATATGATCTAAAAACTGAGCATAGATTTTTTTTTAGATCCATTTTTAAACTAGCTGAATTTATTTGGGGAAGAAGCAGCTATTGTAAATTGTGTTATTAAGCTTCTGTACTTTACATCAATTCATTTAAATTTCAGCAACGTATATGCAAAATAATTGTCAAGCCTAAGTATTACGGTTAGTTGAAATTCTATGAGTATAGTTTCGCAGCACATTTTGTGAGCTTTCGAATGAGAAAACTGAATAGTGAAGTGAGCTGAATATAGTGAAGTCTTTCATAGCAACACAGGCTTTAAATGACATCCCCACCCACACACACTTACTTTTTTCTCCATATCAGAATTCAGAAATAGATGATCTACTGCAGCATTTTCAAATCTATTCAGTGACGTAGTTGGGGGATAAGGGGAAACATCTGCTCTCTGATGCAGCATCCGGGAACGCCAAAATGATGTTACGAAATTTTAGAATGAAACGTTTTCCATTCTTGGCAAACAGGAGGGGGTCGGTTTGTTCCTGGGCGCTGAAATTGCGGTTCTGAATCTATCAAGATAACATTAAAATTGGAAGTAAGTTTCCACGAAAGATAATTATTAAACATATTTGAAAAAGTTTTTATCAGTCATTTACTATGTGAAAATCACAAATGGCTAATAAGAAGTTGTGACCAACCTAAGGGTCGAATATCACTCTTCACGTGATATTAAACTTAGTTTTTGAAGTGTAAATTGTGTAATTACGAATTATAAATAAAGGTATAATGACTGACATCTGATTAAGAATGTATTCAAAGAAACCATCTGTATTTTTAATTTTAACAAGCTAGTATCTTTGCAACAGAAACTAGCTAGGAAGAACAGAGGTACATCTAACCCCGGGCGCAATATCCATTAAAACTTCTTTTCCCTTAGCCATTGTATTTTGGCAAACAGAAATGGGCGCGAAATCTTCAATTGTCTCCGGGCGCTAAAAACCCTAAATATGCCTCTCTTTACAATGGATCCAAGTATCGTATCAGTGCCTACTAAGCGGTTATCACATTAATGCATTCTCATATGGACAATATCATTAATATACTATAATACGAAAAATGTTCCGACGATGCAATCCCTTACATGTGCGATATGAATAGAAGATATCATTAATAAGTTTGAAAACTAGTAACAGTAAAAAAACTCATCGTAATGACACAATATATCGTAACTATTATTAGTGATATTATTAGACCTTAATAAAGAGCTGAGACCCTAATGAATCATCATACAATTACGATGATTCACAGAGCCTTCTTGTTAGTTCCTTACATTCATTTGACCGATATGTTCTTAAGTTTGCCTGAAGTAGCTAACCATATCATTAAATGGATTGGTGAGTGATATTACTCGCGGTAATTCACATTTGTTTCCAGACACTTGCGTTTTTTAATTTCATTTGAAAATATCAGTTGTTAAATATTATTCAAAAAATATTTGTTTTTCTTTCACGCATACTAAATGATCGTCCTTTTTAAAACGTGTTTGCTTTCTGAAAAGTCATTCAAAACTTTTATTTTTTTTCGGGGGGGGGAGTTTATTCAAAAAGTTCTGAAAATGAACTCGCATAAGTATTCGGACACTTTGAATTAGCAGTTTATTTTTAATAAAAAAGTGAAAATAACAAGTCATTGAGTACTTCGTTAGATATCATTTAGCTAAAAATAACATTTTATGTCCTTTGACATAGATTTAACTAATTTTGGGGACTAGGAGTTCTAGAAACATTAGGTTATTTCTCCCGTTCGAAATATCTTATACAATCCCCCTTTTAAAAGGCGACTGGGTGTTAGAGAACCCAATCACCAAATCCTGGTATCGGAGAATCATCATCCACCACCTTCTTTTAGTTCGTACGCCAATGTAGAAACATTAGGTTATTTCGAAGTAGGATAGATGAAAAATTAGCAATGCCCTCGCCGGGACTGGAACCTCACGAATACGCGCCGAGTGTGCTGACCATTACCCCACGAAGGCATGCTAATAACGAGGGAGAAATACCTTATAGAGTGTTCCACTCTTTAGTCAGAATTGCTTTAGTAGAGTTTTCGAAGAAGTATTATTTTCCCTTGCTCTTTTCTCAAAGTCACTATATACATGTTCCATACAATTTAAATCCGAGGAATTTTAGTAACGTCAGGACGGAGTTCACCGAAAACATCGTGAACGAAAACGTCGTGGAGAAAGCAGAGCAAGGCGAAAACATCGTCGTACAGAGAAAAGAAAAGCACAAAGAAAACATCGTGGTACAAAACATCGTCTCTGAAAATGAAGCGCTGCAAAAACTTCGCTGTTTCAAAACATCCTGGTAAAAAATTTCATGGTTAAAAAATAAAGTACTTAACAAATCAATCGCATGACGATAACATCAGACAATAAAGTGTTTTTGAAGTTTTAAAAATTGTAAATGCATAATTGCGTAATGATTTGCGATATTCCTTTTTCTAATCTTTTTTAGACTATATTTTTCCTGAAAAATTGCCAGTAAAACTTTATAAAAAAATCTTATGTCTGCACCACATGACTTTCTTGTACGGAATATTAAATTATACGCATTTTTTCTTACATTTCATTTAAACTTAATGGATTTAATCAAATTTACTTCGTCGATAGCACATAAACCGCACTAGAATAAATTAAAATTCACTATATTTGTTTACCATAGCGACAATCTGGTCCTAAGTTCACTTAACAGCGTTACATTTCATTCGTTTTTTAACATAATCATAATAGTCTCTGGTATACTGGTACACAATCGCATTAGGATTTTAACCAGATCGTTTTGCATATGCCATAGGCTAATTGCGTATGTAAAAAAATAAGGTGCGAATGCACCCCGAAGGCAAAGATACTGCGGCCGTGAAATGGAAGTCAAGGTTCCTTGACGGAAAACAAATTAAGTTGCATGAGGATCCTTTTTAACTCAGAATACACAAAATTCATATCACCTTAAGAATTATCTAATCGTTGCCACATGTTATATTTAAATACTATAATAAATCTAAAACGATGTTTAAAAGAAATTAGGCAAACAAACAAAGAAACAAACACTTTTTCACAGACTATTCAGTATTTCTCCTACAATTAATTCAGTTTTCACTTCGCGACAAGGTAAAAACACATAAAAACTCAAAATATCTGTATTGAAACTTATGAAGTAAAACTTAAACGCGTGTTTCCTCGAATAAATTCCAGAAAGAATTAAGCATGATTTAATTCGCAATGAAAAAAAAAAAAAAAAAAAAAAAAGGTTTATTTGTTATGCGAGCTATTTACCAGATTGACCCAATCTACTATTCTACTGTTCAATGAAACAAGCAAGGTCAACATGGCAAAATAGTTTTTTCTCGTGCTACTTCAGTATTCTTTTTGCTTCTTAATTAGTTTTCTATCACCCATTTTAAATTCTGGGGCTCTTTGTTGCACATAAAATATAATTATCTAACGGTGTTATAATCTTTCTGCCTAAAAATAAATCAGCAGGAGTTTTGCCCGTTGTATCATGTTTTGCGGTCCTAAGGGCGAAAGCAAATTCATTGACATAGTTATCCCAGCTTTTATGAAAATTTTTAACATAACTACGGATAATTTTCACTATATTTCTATTGACCCGTTCCGCTATATTTGATTGCGGCCGATACGGGACCATTTTTAAATGACGTATGCCCAGTTTTTGGCACATGTCTTCAAATATATTACTTACAAATTGAGGACCATTATCCGATATAACTTTTAGGGGCGCCCGTATTTTAAAATATATTTATTTAAAATAGAATCAGTAACTAATTTCGCGGAGGCTCGTTTTAAGGGAACAATTTCGGTCCACTTACTAAAATGATCAACCATAACAAGGAGATAGCGACTTTTATTTAACTGACTTTTTGGGAAAGGGCCCAATAAATCGATGCCAATTATTTCATTTGGAAATTCGGATTTAATGCTATTTAGAAACCCGGCCGGGCGGAAATTAATATAATTAACTGCTTGACATGTTGGGCAGGACTGGACATACGCCCTTGTTAACTTTGCAGTTCAGGAAAATAGACTGCCTCGCGTACGCGTTGGATAGGTTTTCGAATACCAGCATGAGAAGCTAAAGGGCTGTCATGGAGCTCCTGCAGGATATTTAATCTAAGACTAGCTGGGATAACAGGTCGAAATTCGTTGTTGGAATTCGTAGTTTTTGTATAAATTAATAGACCATCTATTAGTTCGTAATGGGCCGCCCTATTTCTTATCGCCACAATATCTTGGTGGCTAAAATTTTCAGGATCCTTTAAATACTCATAAATGCTTCCAAACTCAGGATCCTTACCCAGTTCGGTTATTACAGTTTCTCGGGAATTTATTGTACATGCTGTGAGCATTGCCACCTTTACGGTATTACCTTCTTCATCTATTTTAATTCTGGATAGGGCATCTGCTACGATATTTTCCTTTCCGGGGGTATGCTTGATTACCAGATTATATTCTTGTAGCTTGAGTGCCCATCTTATTAACCTTGGGGATAAGTTTTTCCCTGAGTACAATCTAGTTACCGCCGCATGATCAGAGTACACTGTTATTGGCGCCTTTCCAAAATAGACTCGGAACTTTTGCACTGCTAACAGAACTGCAAGTGCCTCTCTCTCGGTCGCGGAATAGTTTCTTTGTGTTTGATTTAAAGTTCGGCTAAAAAATGCCACGGGCTGCTGATTTTGCGAAAGTACCGCTCCTACCGCATAATCCGAAGCATCCGCTGAAATTTCTAAATTCTCATCCTTTTCAGGAAATTTCAACACAGGGGC